TTCTTTTCTTTCTCTCCGTCTCCGTCTCCGTCTCTCTCTCATTCAGTCCAATCTCAGGCGCATAGAGACGGGGTCGATTTGCCTACCTAGTTGGTTGTTGGATGTAGGTAGGCATCGTACGACCATGACCCCGGTCGGGGGCCCTCCGCAGCAGCACCGTCAATCAACTGCAGCTGCACTCCACCCGCCGGGCCCACCGGCCCGACTCAGCAGGCGTCTCCAATCTGCTCCCCCAATCTTGCGCGGTGCTTGGTGCTTGGCCTTGGAAGACCCTGGCCCAAGCCTAACCCAACCTGCCCTGCTTGCTTGCTTGCTTGATTTCAAGCTTGCTTTGATGCTTCGACGCACACCCCCCTCTGCACATCGCGATCAGCGGTCGGTCGACTCCACGTCGGCCACTACCAGTCACCACCACCGCCGCAACCCTGCTCACTTCCGCCGCCGTCCTACGTCCGCAAGCAGGAGGAGCACGAGGGCGGCACGCGCAAGAGCCTCCGAGCGAAAGCCTATGGACGGACGCGCCCATCATCATCGCCATCGCAATCGTCGCAACTCATCACCGGTGATGCGCAGAGCACAGGCCCGCAAACGCTCCAGCACCAGACCAGCACAGCACCGCACCAGCCCCTCTGTCTGTCTCTTGTCTTTGTCACGGCGCGCGCTGCCGTCCGCGCCCCCCTATAATGCGCCTCACGCGCGCCACTTAGGGCGCCCGCTCTGCCCACGTTGACGCCCGCACTGTGCCTCCTGCCCGCTCATCGTGCAATGGCCCCCCACGGCGCATGAAGTACACGGCCACGAGCGACAGGAGCCTCGGGCCATATGCGAGCGGGTGTGCGGCGGCTGCGGCGACCGGCGACCAGCGGCCACGGCCATCATCATCATCGTAGTCAGCTGCTGCAATCGTCGTCACCGGTGGCGCGCGGGCTCAAAGCACACACCTACAGGCACAGGGGCCGCGGCGCGGCACACACCCTCACCGGCCGACTAGTGACAGCTCTTCTTCCTCATGGGGGTGGGTGGGCGAACGTATGCGGATGGCATTGGCAGGTGACTTGGTGTTCTCGGGCGACGGCAACGGCAACGGCAACAACGACATGGGCTTGGCAGTAGCCCTTTTTTTTTTTTTTCTTCTTCTCTCTTTCCACACAGCTGGTTGGCTGGTTGGCGGGTCGGGGGGGGCTCGATCGATTCATCCCCTCTCTCTTGCCTCGCCTCATCTCGTGTCAAGTCGAGTCGGCTGGGCGTGTTCGTCGTCTGGTTCGCTGGCTTGTCAGCGGGCGTTCGGCTTGGCTGATACGACGGCCCGGATGGGCATGGGCTGTGAGGGCGCGCGCGCGCCGGGCATGTGGTTCTTATATACCCCGCTGCCTGCTATAGCAGCCCCTTTGGGTGGCGGGGGCGTCGGTGATCCAATATGCGTAGGGTCGTTGCCAATGCTCGCGCCCTGGTCTAGTGCCGTTTTGGCTGGTGGTGGTGGTCTTTTGCGCGCTTTGCGGGCCGGTGAGGATTGTGTTGGTGGTTGTGGTGGTGGTTGTGAGAGAGAGAGAGAAAAAGAGAGAGAGAGGAGGAGGAGGATGAGGAGGAGGAGGAGCGGAAGGTCTGTCCGCCCACTACCACACAGCAGACAATCCTCAGCCGGTCTGGCCGCGCTCGCCCACTCACTCACTCACTCACTCAGGAAGGAATGACCAGGCCCCACGCCCGAATCCGATCCAAGCCCCATCCATCAGCATCATCGCAACCCAAATCAAGTCATGACCCTACGCATATTGACGGCTCCACCCTAACCTGCAGCATCATCGGCACCATCATCGACCTGCCTGTCCAAGGTCCCTGCCAGTAGGTCTTTGCCAGTCCTGAGTCCAGTCCAGGCAGCCGCGCAGGCGCTCCTTCCAACTTCCTCCCTACACGCGCCCGCCCATCTTCGTGCGCCTTGTTTGCGACTTGCCTCTCCGGCCCCACGCACCAGCACCAGCACCGCCGGTGATAAGCGTTCAGGGTCCCATGTGACGCGCCGAACCCTACGCATATTAACGATTTTCGCAGTGCTCCGAGGCGGGCTCCACTGCACTAACTAGCTGAGCAAGTTAGGTTAACGGCGCTTGCTTGTCTGAGCCAACCTTGTCCGTGCCAGACTGGACCTGGTTTGGAGGGGTTTGGAGTGCTTGGGGCACCGCAGGGGGTGCCCGCCTGGCTTGGCCTGCCCTGGTCGCGTTTCGCATTGTCTTGGCCTGGGGCGTTTGAGGACGCGAGAGGCGTGTTTGAGACTGAGGTCGGAGTAGCAGCGTAGCGTAGCGCAGGAGTGAGGTGAGGTGAGGTGAGCTGAGACTGAGGCGTCTGGTCCGGTCCCTTTGTCGCCTGCTCTTGCTCTCTCTCTCTCTCTTTCTCTCTCTCTCTCTCTGTGTGTGGGAATACGATACAGGGATGGTGGTGGTGAGGCGTGCTGGCATTGACTTTGGCATGCGCGCGCCCCCTCCCTGCTTGTCAATCCTGCTGGTGCTCCTGCACAGACTGCTCATCTGTCATGCACTAACTAGCAGGTAGTAACACGGCGAACCAGAACGGCAGAGAAGACGCAGACGCACGCAGAACCTGGCAGCGCAGCGACGTCTGGACCAGGCATGGCAGGGTCGGGAAGGCCCACAAGCCGATGCCGAAAGACTAGGTACCTACTACCTAGACAAGACAAGACAGGACACTGACACTGACACTGACAACGGGCGTGAGTGGGTGGGTACCTATGGTCGAGTATGGTATGGCATTGGTGTTGGGTATTGACTACCGCGGCGATCGGGGTCTGATGCAGGCTGGAGAACCGGTTCTGTCCATGTACCTGCTTGTCCGCGATCCTGCCTGGATAAGCTGGGTCTTGCCCACTTTTGCGTGTGGGCGGATGCTTTCTTCGCCCCCTCGTCCATCCTTCCGTCCATTGTTGTTGTCTGCCTACCTAGGTATTGCACAGTCGTACAAACATACACACGAGATTTCCCGTTTAGCTCCAAATTTGCATCTTGTATCTCGTATTATCCGCTCTGCCCAGCGCGTGGCTATGGTAGTAGCAGTAGCTAGCCTAGCACTCACTCCAGCTAGCAGCTAGCTTCCTCCTCGTACTTTGCACAATACATACCACCCAACCACCAGCAAACTAACTAACAAGGTAGCAACTAGCCAGCGCACCCACCTAGGTACAATATCCACATCCACATCCGCAATGCACCCACAACCCGCATCCATCCGCCCCCTCATCCATCCATCCGTCTGGTCCAGTCCAGCCCAGCCCATCCATATCCCCACACCCACCACCACCCAAACCCACACCACGAAAACAAACCGCTGCGCAGTGCAGCCGGCGCAACGCACGGGCGGCCGTTTCTGCGGCCGTTGAGCAGCAGCGCTAGCACTAGCAGTAGCAGCTAGCAGTAGCCAGCTGCTCCACATACCCACACCATACCTATCTACAATACATGCACAAACACGCGCAGCAGCAGCAGCAGCAGCACACGGAACAGCGCCGCGCCCGCGCCCGCGCATCACCCAGGCTAGCTACGGCAGTCAGTCAGTCAGTCGCACGCCTCGCAGTCGCAGCCGCCCATCCGCCGTTCCTGCGTCTGGCGCGCATGAAGCTGACCGGTGCCGGTGCCTTGCCTTGCCCTGCCTTGCCTTGGCTTCGGCACGCTCGCGCCGCCGGCGCGCCTGTCCTCTGCGTCTAGTTTGTGTCTGTACTGTACGTATTGTACATGTAATACATGCTGCGCGGTGAAGGGCATACGGCGCAGGACTAAGCATGGCAATACAATAATGTACCGCTATGGGCGCGGCGTTTGCGCTGAGGTAGGTGCTATAGGGCGACGGAGAGGTAGGTAGACCGGCAAGCAGGCAGGCAGGCAGGCAAGCAAACAGGCAGCCTGACCGGCGGCGCGAGGACCCGTCGCCAGTGGGCGCGGGCGCGGCGCCGAGTGAGGCGGCCGTGGTTTGTGAGTGTATCCGTACTGTACCAAACAATAGTGGAGGAGGGCGCGATGTGCCGCGGGCAGGGGGAGCGCTGTGGCGTGCGCGCCTATGTCCATCAATCATGCGACACCCTGGGCGATCAGCGGGAGGAGCAGCGGCGGCGAGCAGCCAAGAAAGCAGAGCGCAGCAAAAAGCTAAACACGAGCGCGCCATGTTCGCTGCTGGCTCGGGGCGCTGCCAAAACGGCGCGCAGCCGCCTGCCGCTGTCCCGTGTGTGCCGCCCTTGTGGCTGTGGTGTGTGGTGGTGCTGCCCCGTTGCCGATTATGGCCGCTAGTTGTTGTCTGACCGGCCGGGAGAGGTCAGGCCAGCCCTTGCCATGGCGTGGGCTATTTCCAAAGCTGGCCGTGCTGGCCAGGAGGCCCGGTCAGCTCTACTAGTCTAGCAGCATGCAGGCATGGCGTCGGGATGAGCGGTGGTGTCAGCGCCCCCCGGTGGACCCATCTGTAGGGACTCCGCGGTGGCTGAGGCAGCGCGTCCTCCGGGGAATTAAATTGTGGCTGGATGAGGATCGATGGGCAGTGCGGGCGGCGGGCGACTTTGCAGCAGTAGTCAGTTTACCAATATCGATAATACCTAAACTAGGCAGCTCCTCCGACCGCATCATTGCCGTCGCATGTCAAGAGGGAAAAAATATTGGGAAATCACTAGGGAGACGGCGCGCACGCGGACGCTCCGAAGGGGCGTCGTTTGCTGCTTTCGTTTCGCGTGGCCTTGGCGCCGGAAAGGAGTTGCCCCGGAAAGGGGATATGCGCTGCGCTGCGATGGATTGGGTGTTTGCAGCAGTAGCAGCTGATGCTGCTTGTTGCTGCGTTGAGGCGCGCGGAGATTACTGCGACAGGGCGGCGACGGCGGCCCTTTGCGGCGTGCAGGGGGCCGCCATTGGGTCGCGCGGGTAGGTATATGGCCGCTTTACTATGTGTGTGTGTGGATGTGATTATAGGCGTGCGTGCTTTAATGTGTTTGCGTGCGTGCGCACGGCCTGCCTCTTCTCGGATGTGCCGAGGAGGTCGGCCTCGACGAGATTGTGCGACCAACTCTTCCTCCATGTGAATGGACTGTGCCGGCAGTGGCTGATTCGTGGCATGCGGCAGCTGTCGCCTCGCTTTGTGCTTCCTGGTTGTGGTGTCCTGTCTTGTCTTTGTCCGTTTAGCCTTTCGTACCGGACCGGGTGCCTTTAGGCAGCCGGGAGGTAAGTGCGTGGGTTGATTTTGGCACGGAGGCAGCGATAGTTATTTTTGGACTCCGGGTGTTTGCTGGGTGTGCTGAACGTATGCTATGTGATGTGTGTGATTGTGCTAGGGGTTGAGAAGAGGGGGGACTGCGAGAGAACCACAATCGCTCGGTGCATCCGAAAATACTCTGGCTTTCACCTTTTATCCCTATCCCCTTCACAGGCGCGTTCGCCAATCTGTATATCCCCATGGTTAAAAGCGCGGCTGATCTTCCCAGTAACCATCGCGCCAGATCGGTCGATGCGGAGTTTCTGTACCGGCTTACACAACGGAACTGAAGACACGAAGTGTGTGACAACGGTAGATCGACAGATTGAGTTTTCGCAACCAATGTGAAGGAGCTAGGAATGTCGTGTGTGTTTGCGATCTGGCTGATCGAACTATAGGGTAAGACAAAGGTATTTTGCCGGTGTTGGTGGAGACGGCTTTCTCCATGGTGCCGGCACCTCCCGTTTCTTCTCCCTTCCAGAGTCTTCTTTGTCGTTACCTTTGTTTCTTTTTCTCCATCTTCTTAGTCTCCACCATGTCCATCAAGGTCATGGCGGCCACGAGGCAGCGTCAAGCGGGTGATCCTCGCGTCCCGCGCGGGCCGCAGCGCATCCACATCCACATCCCCCAGGTTCGGGCTGTTCCGTTGCGCGCGGCTGGGAAACCGTCGCTTGTCGTGGAGTATAGGCGGGTCTTATACATACGTGGTGGCTGATAAATCTCCACTGACGTGGCGTAGGTGATCATATAGGTGTGTGGAGGCATACACTCCGCCTCGCGAAGTAGGCACTGCAGGCGACTCGCTAACGAGGCTCTTGGGTACGCGAGCCTTGTCATGGTGGGGCCCTCTCGCTGACATCGTAGACGATATCGCTATAATGCGAGTGCTATGGAGAAGAACCAGGAGCGTGGAGGTGCGGGGTATGGGGTACTGCCGCTCGCGGAACCGTTCTGGAAGACAGATCCTCCCGAGGCTGTGGTTGAGCTAAAAGGCGAAGACGACATGTCTCGGAGTGGCTACCTGCAGGGTCTTTTTACTGTTTGTCAGTTTTGTCTAAGACATCAGGTAACTGCCGATTTGGTGAGACAGGCTAAGAACTGGCTGTCCTGGCCGGGAACGTCGCTGAGCAGTAAAACTCTCCGACTGCTTCCAGAGAGATGTTTGCGGAATGAATAATTGCAATTTCTCTTGAACCTTATTTCTGGAGCTTCGTGTCGTGCAGGGCGGTAGTTGTAGGCTTCATCTGCCAATCGCTTTGTTCTTTCAAGCAAGTCTCGGTGTCGAAGAAGTTGATAGGTTCTGGAACGCTTTTGAGAAAGATCCGTTGTTCCTGTCGTCAATTTCATCAATATCCAACCAAGGGATTTGACGTTGTTGATGGAACCGTTGACATTTGATTGCGGCGTAGATATTGCTACTACGACGATGCATCGTGAAGTTCGTCGAACAAGGGACAGATAATAACAGGACACTTATGAGAACTGTCCACTGCTAGTAGAATCTTGTCAATGGCCTTGAACGTTCTTGTTTTGTTGATGCAGGTGAACGTCTCATCCCAAACCAGTACTATTACCTACTATGTCTTGTCTCTCCAGTAGGTCTTTCTGCATTGGAGCATCCATGTTCTTATATCTCCCTCCTGCCCGCCCCGGAGATGCCTTGTATATCAATAACTGAATCCTGAAGGAACCTTCTCAACCTCCAATCTTGCGTCCAAGTTTGGCCTCTTCTCCGTCTCTTCAAATTTTTTGTCCAAAGTTCGAAGGTCACCATGAACGACTGCAGTGACAATCCCGCTATGGTCGTCGAGCTGGTCAAACCTCGAACAAAGGACGGACATTTGGATGATCGCAGCCAGCCGGCTTTGCCTGTAGTGCACCGTAGCTTTGCAAATCCAGCACCGCTGGGCCTTCTCTCCTTTGCCACGGGTAATGATACCAATCCGCTTTGAAGGATGCTCCTAACTGAATTTAGTCATCTTCTTGATGTCGACGTACGGCGTCAGTGCTAGAGTTACAAGGCCTAATGGGATGATTGGTGTGCTGCTCTTCTCCGGGGGTGTTTGTCAGTTCATATCTGGTATCATGGAGTTCATATCCGGAAATACGGTGCGTATGTCGAAAGTTTTGTCGCGACAATCAAGGTCTAATATCAGAGAACGACAGTTCGGGGCGACCTTGTTTCCCTCATATGCCGCCTTCAACCTCTCGTTTGCCATGATCTGGCTTCCAGGCACAGGCATAATGTCCGCATATATTGACTCGGAGACCAAGCTCCTCAGTCCTGAATTCTCTCAGGCTATGTCGCTTTACTTTTGGGCATGGTTCATTCTGACAGTTGCGTTCACCGTCGCGGCGATTCGAAGCTCGTGGGTGCTATTTTCCACGTTGTTCTTTTTGGCCATTGTGTTACTGCTGATGGCGGTTGGCCACATGCTAAACGACGACCGAGTCTTGACCGCAGCTTACTGCTTTAGTTTTGTGTCCGGGTTCTTTGGATGTAAGTGAGGTGCTCCCTAGCTCTTTAAGGTGGCGATATGATAACATGTTGACAGACTGGGCTGGATGTGCCGGCTTGTGGGCCGGCGGAATCACACCTATCGACCTTCCTACATTCCAAATGCACAAACAAGTGTAGTCGCTGTGGTGACGAGAAGAAAATCTGCAAATCTGAATGGGAGACGCAGCTGGAATACAACTTATCTAAAATTCTGAAATAACGGCAGCCACGTTTATTGATATCTTTTGACAGTCTCTTGATCGTGTAGTTCGGTCATGGTATTGACAGGCCGCTGGTGTTTTAGACTGAACTGATTTCAACGAGAAGGCTCTGGACTTACAGATGGTGCATCTTGCTACCCTCGCAAAACTTGATATTGTATCTTTCGGCAAACAATGCAATTCGATCGGGCGATAGAGAAATGGACCCCAAGACCAAGCGCTGAAGTATTTTAATCTCAAACACTTTGGTAGCTCACGTCTGCCGCCGCAATGATCCATCAGCAGAAACCGCGAGCCGATGGGGAAGTTCCTTGGAAAGGAAGGGTTGCCTTTGCTCAGGCTGTCGGCCGACACCTCAGGAGGTCGGGCACCCGAAGCGCGCCGTTTGCCACTGTGCCACGCCACGCGTACAGTACAACTCTGCATCTCCATCGAAAGTGGGCCATTTTTCTGATCTATGTGCCAGATAAGTTGGGTGGATACGGTCAAGGACCAAGAGGCATGTGCGGATCTTTCATCACGATGGACCCCATATCTGCCAGGTGGACAAAGAAATGAGCCAGTGCCTCGGTGAGTTCCGCGTCTGTCGAGGTCCGAAGATGATGCTCTTAGGTATGAGAGACATGCCCACTTGCCGTAGGTATCTCAGTCACACTAGTGTAAGGTATTCCTCTGTAGAGCGCCTTTCGGAGAGAACAGCGGGAGAGTGCGATGGAGGTCGAGGAGGCGCAATCTCCGTAGGCGCTGAGGGGAACCTGGTTTTCAATATATCTTTCCTACGGCCCGTGTAACAAGGCTGAAGGAAGTGGGCACGGTGGGACAAAGAAGTCGGCGTCCCGTGACACAGCGCGTAAGCGCACCCCAGAAAGCGCAGGCGCGTAGGTGTCGGACAACGCAAGAATACGCTCCAGCGGTTGAAGAATGCCATGTGGGCGGCAGATGTTTCAACGGGACTGGGGTTTGCGTACCGTGCTCAATGTTGGACTCGCCCGGCAGGTCGGCAAGCCGAGAGGCTCAGGAGCTGAGACTCATGGCAAGGTTGTTCTCCGAAGACATCTGTTCTCTGACTGTTCGATGATCTCGACGTGTCTGAATGACATCAACGCGGATACAGCGCAGAGTCGCAATAGGTGTCGGTGAGGAGTTGAGGAAGAGGATGTGTTGTGCGGGCCGAGCGAAGAGCAGCTCTGGACCAATCACGGCTGGGGGGCCAGCGAAAAGATGAAACCCGCTAGCCGCTCGCCTCCCAACCACCTCACTCGGCCACCACAATTGCATCTCCATCAGACGTCTATGACACGGCACGCACCCGTCCCGACACGGCCATCCCAGCCACGCGTAACGTCCCGCAAGGCGCCCGAAGGAAAATTCTCAGCCACCCAAGCCTGCGGCTGCTTGACACTGTTCACTCAGCGCCCGCTTCGCTCGCGAAGGATGTTTTGTTTGCCGTGATGCGCGCGCGATTCCCCGCCAATCCCTCTAGCGAGGCTGATCGACAGAGCTTTCTCTCACGTCCAGCCCGCTGGGCTTGCGGGATCGAGGCCCGACCTGCATGGATTTTTCCGAAGGCGCGCGCATGCGCGTCGACAGCCAACCGCTTGCAAGCCGCGTGAACCCACCCATGCAGCGGCTCCGGAGCAGCCTTATCGCCTTTGTTACAGAATGTGTGGAGTGAGAAAGAGATCTCAGCAAGGTTTCGCCGGGCTGTATACGATCCGCTTCATTGGCTGTCGTTGCTGCTTTCTCACGTTGAGCCACACAGTGCCCTTTGCCGCTTTGTTTCGGTGTGTTCTCTTTGTTCACTCATAAACCTACCCTACCCGCCTCTCACTTCAACACCACAATAGCGGGCATGGACAGACAATAAGCTGCCCACAACACAGTGTCCTTTTTTTGTTACGATTTCTTTGTTCACTTTGTTCACTTTCTAATAATCACATTGTCAATCTGGTATTGACTGTATTTATTCCCTTCAATTGCCTCGATTCATAGCAAACAGCAAACACTTCGACTTGCGCCTCACCAAATCAACTTACGACACCTAATCTTGCCGGTCAAGATCCCAAAAAACAAAACGACGAATCAACACATCTCGATCAGCATGCCTACCAACACCTTCAAGGCCGTTGCCGCCGCCCTGCTCATTGGGCAGGCTACGGCGCACACCTGGCTTGAGCAGCTCAACGTCATTTCCCAGGGTGGTACTTTTGTCGGCAACTACGGCTACCCTCGCGCGTTTGTCGCTCGTGATGATTCCGGCTTCAATGGCGAGTCCAACGTTTACATTCTGCCGGCCGCCGATTCGGGTAGGACTCGTATCAACGACTCTGACAAGCTCTGCAAGGACACGCAGCGCACAACGAGCACTCAGAACCAGAAGTGGCCGCGCCTTCAGGCCGCTGCCGGTGATTACATCGCCATGAAGTATTCCGAGAACGGTCACGTTACGCTTCCCGAAAACCAAGTGGGCAAGCCTCAGAAGGGTGGCACCGTTTTCCTTTACGGCACTTCGGAACCAAAGGACGATGAGAAGCTTACCGATGTCCTCAAGTGGACCAAGGATGGCAAGGGTGGAGACGGACGCGGCAAGCTCCTTGGTACCAACAACTACGACGACGAGCGCTGCTACCAGATCAACAATAGCGAGATTTCCAAGAACCGCCAGGAAAAATTCCCGGATCCCAACCCTGATCAGCCCGACTCAGTGAACGAGCAGTACTGCGAGAGCAACTTGCAGATCCCCACCGACGTCAAGTCGGGTAAGCCTTACACGGTCTATTGGGTTTGGCAATGGCCCACCGAGGCCGGCCAGGACCCGGCTCTTCCTGATGGCAAGGACGAGTGGTACACGACCTGTTCCGATATCGACATTATTGCCAACAGCAACCTCAAGCAGTTCTCTTCCGGCAGCACTGAGCAGAAGTACAAGCTCGGCCAGCAGGACCCCCAATCCAAGGCGGTCTCGGACTACCAGTCGCGCACTGCTCTGACCTCGGACCCCAGCCAGGGTATGGGAGGTGCTGCAACGTCTGCCGGCGCAGCTACTTCGGCTGCCTCTAGTGCGGCGGCTACGCCTGCTGTCTCCACGCCTGCCGCCTCTACGCCTGCTGTCTCTACGCCTGTTGTTTCTACGCCTGTGGCGACTCCTACGACCCCGGCCTACACCAACAACAACGGTAACGGCAATGCCGGTGATGCCCCTCAGACTGTCTACATCACCGTCACCGAGACTCCCTCTACTTCGAGCTTCGTTACCCAGATGGTCACTGTCACCGCCGAGGTCCCTGTCGCTACGCTTCAGCAGACCACCACGACGACTCTGAACGCCAATGTCAACTTTGCTGGCAAGAGCAAGCGCTCCTTCACCCCTCGTGCGGAGAGGCGCAAGGCCCGCCAGTCTGCCTCTGTCGACCCTGCCGACCAGCAGGCCGCTAAGGAGATCTACTGCAAGCAGAACCCCTCGGATAAGGGTGCCTGCCCCGATGAGGAGGAGCAGGTTGAGGAGATCGTCCGCCGCTCGACTTCCGAGACCGACGCCTCCACCCCCGCCTCATCTAGCGCCTCTTCCGCAGTCGCAATGCCTTCTTTGATGATGCTTTCATGCTTTTTCACGATTTTTGCCTACGCTTTCGCGTAGATGACCACGATCATTACGACTACTACTACTACCTACACGATCCTTACGACGAAGTGTTTGCATAGCGATGGCGTTTGATTTTTGATTTTTGCATTTGCATGACTGCGCTCCACTGGTTGGACCGCGACTTTTTGATTTCATGCGTCACACTCTTGGGCGGCTAGCTGCATTTTCAAGGGAAGGTCAGCGCTTTTAGACGTCGGATCACACGACTCATTGATGACGGACGGGGTGAACGCATGGGTTCCTGGCTGGAACAACGATACCCTTCTACATACATAGCTTAGCATATTTTAAAATTCAGACTTGCAAAATAACTCTTTCTGCGCATTCGGCCGAGTGACATTGAATTGTGTGATCTGGCCTCATCAGGCACTTCGGCGGGGTTCGACAGCGTGGCCGAGGTGGAAGAAGCGTGTCCAAGTGATGCCCGAGATGACGCTGCCCGGTGCGACGTGTTCAGGGTCCAAGCAGATGACATAATGCATCTAGCTCGACGCTAGCGTGACGCTAATCCGCAAACGGGACAAAGTACACAAAACAAAACACCGCCAGAACCTCCGTACTTGATGCGGACGGAGAAGCGAGCAGACGACGACCTTTACGACGTGACGAACCCGACGACCGACTAACGACCAAGAGTCCGCAGTGCACACCATGGCGGATGGGGCTTCGTCGATTTCCGTGGCCGTGAGAGTGCGGCCCTTCACCATCCGCGAGGCCGCTCAGCTTGTCAAGACCGACGATGGGCCAATGTTCCTGGGCGACGGCAGCTTGGCTGCTGCCCCGCCCAAACTGAACCACAAGGGCCTTCGCCCTGTCCTCAAGGTGGTGGATGAAAGATGTTTGTAGGTCCAAGGTCCCTCTGCTGTAGCTGTCCTGGAGCTAACAACCCCTGCTCGCCAGAGTATTCGACCCCCCGGAAGACAGCCCCATGCACCGCTTCTCGAAATCCGTGGTCCCGATGGGAAAGAAGGTCAAAGATCAAACTTTTGCCTTTGACAAGGTCTTCGACGACAACACTACGCAGGGTGATGTGTACGAGGGGACGACCCGGCCTCTGCTGGACAGCGTGCTGGAGGGTTACAATGCTACGGTCTTCGCATACGGCGCGACGGGCTGCGGAAAGACGCACACAATCACGTATGCCATCTATAGGTTAGGGCAGTAGGATATATGCTGACAACTGCGGCAGTGGAACTGCACAGCAACCTGGTATCATCTTCCTGACGATGCAGGAGCTCTTTGAAAGGGTGGCCGAGCTGCAGGAGACGAAATCCACGGAGATCTCGCTTTCCTATCTGGAGATTTATAACGAGACAATCCGCGATTTGCTGGTACCGGGCGGTAGCAAGCAGGGCTTGATGCTGCGAGAGGACGCCAACCAGGCGGTGTCTGTGGCCGGTTTGACAAGCCACCACCCACAAAATGTGAGATTACAACGCACAACGAGTTTACTTCGGGTCTAACAGCCTCGCAGGTCCAGCAAGTCATGGAGATGATCGTACGCGGTAACGAATGGCGAACGATGTCCCCTACCGAAGCCAACGCTACCTCGTCCCGTTCGCACGCCGTTCTCCAAATCAACGTTGCATCTAAGGATCGCAACGCGGGTACCAATGAGCCGCACACAATGGCAACACTGAGCATCATCGATTTGGCGGGTAGTGAACGTGCTAGCGCGACAAAGAACAGGGGAGAGCGTCTGATTGAAGGTGCCAATATCAACAGGTCTCTTCTCGCGCTCGGAAGCTGCATCAACGCTCTATGCGACCCCCGCAAGCGCAACCATGTCCCTTACCGCAACTCCAAGCTCACACGACTCCTCAAATTCTCCTTGGGCGGTAATTGCAGGACTGTCATGATTGTCTGCGTTAGTCCGTCCAGCGCACACTACGACGAGACACAGAATACTCTCCGGTATGCAAACCGGGCGAAGAACATCCAGACCAAGGTGACGAAGAACGTGTTCAACGTGAACCGTCACGTCAAGGACTACCTGAAGAAGATCGATGAGCAGCGGCAGATGATCGACGAGCTCACGGCAAAGATGAAGGACTTCGAAGGCTCCGCTTATGTCAAGTTCAAGAAGCAGAGCGAGAAGCGCGATGGTCTGACAAAGGATGGCATTACTCGGATCCGGGCTGCGTACGAGCATGCGGGTGCGGAGCGGAATGAGCGGACGAACATGATGAAGAAGCTGAGGCAAATTGAGCGCCGCATCAGCTTGATTTCGGCATGGATTGCTGGGTTCGACGGCATTTGTGAGAAGAGGGAAGATGAGGACCCGCCCAAGTCTTTGGCAGCGATGCGTAAAACGGCGCTGGGCGTCCAGGCTGAGCTGGAAGGCAGCAGGCAGCATTACCACCAGCGGATCGCCAAGAACAACTGGGAGCGGGCGGTCGATACTGCACTGCAGATGGGTGTGCGGCAATTGAAGGAGGCCGAGGGATCAGATGTCGGCAGCGAGATCGCCACCCTGCAGCGCGAGGCAGAGTTGCTCAAGTCAAGAGCGGACCGGGAAGCATACACAGCAGTGCTTGACCAAGAGAGAGGAGGGGATGCGCCAATTGTGCAGGTACTTGTTCAGGCACACTTTGAGACTGTGGCCATTCTTGGCCAGATCATGGCAATGGACGAGGAGGAAGCCATACGCACAGCAAAGGATATGCTGGGCAAGCTAGTCACTTCAAGCACGGACGTAACATCACAGGTCATCAAGCCCGAAGGTGGTCTCCCCGTCGTCGAAGCCTTTCCCCCCACGCACCGCGGCACGCCGAAGCGCAGGAAGCCGGTTAACCTGCTGGGTCCGTCGCCGTACAAGGGAATCCCGCCTCCAGGTTTCTTGAGCCCAGCACGTCCAAGCTTGATGCCTACCTCGCCCAGTAAGATCATCACCTCCCCACGGCGCCGCAAGCTCGGTCCCGCAAAGAAGGGCATACAGTTCACACCCAAGAAGAAGAGTCCCGTCAAACGCGGCGTGAGGTGGCGGGACGATACGGAGGACGGGCAACTCGCGGATTTTACGGATACGCCCCAAGCCGTCGAGGCCTCCCCCGAGACCATTAACGCATCGCAATCCCTCGATGCCATCGTCTCTAGCAATAACGTTGACGATTCGTCAGAGCTGAATTCCTCGCCCATCCCCGCACCTCCTCATTCGAGCCTCGAAGTCAAACCCGCGCCGCGCTCCAGCCGCTTCCAGACAGGCTTCCTTTCCAAGAGGGCCGAGAACGGCCCACACAGCTCGCCGCTTCTTCCAGCATTTAGCTCCGACTCGGAAGTTAGCCCATTACGCGAGATGGCCGCCAACAAGGCGCCTCACCAGCTAATGCGTTCACAGCTGCACGTCGTGTCGGGGTCTCACTCATCGGACGCGACGCCCAATGACAGCGAGAAGACATCAGGGAGCGGCTCTGACGAGGATAGGAGCTGGCTAGTCGACAACCACGCCGCCGTCTCCAAGATCCGCACCGCCATCAAGCGCACGGGCACCGCCACGGCCGGCCACGGGCACAGCGCCAGCGTCGGCGGCAACGGCATGCGCGTCCGAACCAAGCGCATCAACAGCCCGCCGAGCGTCCTGCATGGCCGCCGCACCAGCATCAGCAAGCAACCCGGCCCCGGCGCGGCGCCTCGCAGGGTTACGATGAGCGAGGATAGGGGCAGGGGTGCGGGTGTGACGGGCTTGGCTAGCGGTGGACCCGTGCGTCCAGGTGTGAGGGCTGGTGGGAGCACCGGGTCGAAGAGCGCGTGGCGCTAGAGGGATATATTGCTTTCAGGGAGGACTTAGAAGAGAAATGGAGAGGGGACGCGGTTTTTGATATCCCAGATTGGATCGGAAAGGGGCATTGTCGTGGTCGTCGTCGTCGGCTTAGATTGGGTTGTCTTCGGCTTTTTGGTCATTGGTCTTTTCTTGACTGCCTGGCCATGGGTGGACGGGGGCTGGGAGGGAGTCTTGCGGTTCTCAAGGGTAACCGGCGTTACAGTTGCATCGACAGCCATCGCCACACCACCAGGGCTGGTCGCCATCGGGGAAATTTGTGCTACGCGTGGGCGGATTGCTGTACCATACTGGAGGTGGTTCTTTCTTGTCTTCCTTCTTCTTTTCATCCTTTCTTGGGCATGCTTATCCACGATCGTGTCTATACGAGGCTGGGGATCAGCTTGCTTGCGAGCGAAGAAGCATTATGGTCGCGTTAGTCATTTTAACTTCTAGTAAATCTCTTTCTTACAAGTCACACGCTGCTGAGCGGCTTTTTCTCCAGCCATTCATCCATCCGTCTTTACCACATCCCTTATCTTCCTCCTTCTTAAGCCTTCTCCGCGCCCTCGGTCTCCGCAATCCGGAACACGTACTTGACGGCCTTGGCTTTGCCATCGCGCAGGTTCTCGAGCCCCTTCTGCACGCCCCCCAGGCCACCGGGCACGACCTCCTGCGGCTGCGGCTTGAACCATCCGTCCTGCAGGCCCTTGGCAAAGTAGCGGAAAAAGACGAAGCCAAAGTCCTTGTCGTCCTTGTGGACAGCGCCGACATTGGTGATGGACTGCTCGACGCTGTCGGGGATGCCGTCGTACTCCTTGCCGGGGAGCACGAGAGTGAGCTTGCCGCCCGGCGCCAGCGCCTTGCCGATGTTGACGTAGCTGCCGTGCTCGGACACGGCGTCGTACGCGTGCAGCAGCTGCGTGCCCGCCGGCACCGCGGCCTTGATGCCCGCCACCACGGCCTCGTCGCCCCCGCGGTAGTCGACGATCGTGTCGCCCTTGGAGCGGTCGATCAGGGCCTCGACGTGCGCCGCCGAGCTGCCCGCCACGCAGATGAGCGGGTGCACGCCGCTGCGGCGGGCGAGCTGGACGACGTAGCTGCCGACGGCGCTGGCGGCGCCGTAGACGACCAGGGGCGTGGGTGCCGTGGCCGGCGTCCACGGGTGCGGCAGCCCCAGCCGCAGATACAGCCCTACGGCCGCGGTCATGGCCGCCAGCGGGATTGCGGCGCCCGCTTCAAAGGACGTGTTGCTGGGGAGGTGGAAGGTCGTGTGCGCGTGCGCGAGCGCGTACTCGGCGAACGAGCCGTGCGGCTCCATCATCTCGTGGAAGGCGGCGACGCGGTCGCCCGGCCGGAACTCGCTCACGTTGGCGCCGACGGCGTGGACGGTGCCGGCGATGTCGTCGCCCGTGTTGAGGGTTTTCTTCCACCAGTTGACGACTTTCCTGGGGGGGTAGGCGTTAGTGGGGGGGAAGAGGAAGATGGAGGATTGGCTGTGCTGCTGGTGTAGGTAGGTGTTTAGCCTTACCAGTCTTTGGGGTTGGAGCCCGAGACGGCGACCTTGATGACGACTTGGTCCGGGCCGGGCTCGGGGATGGGCGAGTCGACGATCTGGACGACGGGGCCTAGTGCGGAGGGGCGGGTTAGTCGTCTTGAGCAACATGCGTATCTCGACGCGGGAGACGACATACCATCGGCAACCATAGCTTCCTTCATGGTGGCGGTGATTGATTGACTGATTAACTGGTTACTAGGTAGGGTAGCGGCGGGAGTGGCGTATGCAAGTGAGATTTTGGCGTGCGACGAAGGTCGGTACAGTAGCTACCTACTCTACATATACAGCCACAAGCAGCGTCTGTCTTTTATAAATCCGCCGCCCCGCGCAATTATTAAGCGCGTCGCGGTGGAGGCGGATCCGACGTCGCCGGCCATCGCTGGCGGCGGTTACACTGCTCGTTCTGGTGTCATTGCGTCATGGCCAGCTCCGGGGCTTAGGCCGGTTTACCTCCGGGCCCTTGGTGTTGACGACGTCGCGTCCGCTTGCGTGCTGTGTGTGCGTGGTGCAGCACAGAGAGCGCTTTCGGTACGTCTGGGTTCGGTGCTGTGTACGCGGCTTTGTATGCGGGCTTGCACTGCGCGTTTCTGCCTGCTTGGGCGCTGTTGCAGACGCGTTCCGGTGAGGGGCGCTGCACGTTCACGCGCCACACCAAAGGGTTTGCTTGTAAGTTTTGCAGTTCTGCTTCGGCCCTGGACTTTTTCAGGGCCTCTTCTTCCTTATTGAGCAGATATATCTGCTCTTTGATGCCGACCTTTTGGTTCTCAAGACTTAGAAGCTCCGTGTCTGTCCTTTGCAACTTCTTCCCGGGACCAGTGTTGCCATTCGGACGGATACGGACACGGATACGGACATATGGACACATGGACAGATGCAGAAGCAGACAGACAAATACAGGCAGACAAACAGACAGGACAAAGGAGATTGGAATTTGTGCGTGGTTGTTGTTGGTGGTGGTGGTTGGTTGTGTGCGAGTGAGGAGAGGAAGAGGAAGATGAAGAAATGGAAGAAGAAGTGGAAAATGAAGAGAGAGAGAGAGAAGAGAGGGTGTGTATGTGTACACGTTGATGATGTTTCGGGTTTGTTTTCTTCTTCCTTTCTCTTCCTCTCTTCCTCTTCCTCTTTCTCCCTTCTCTCGTCGTCTTCGTTGTCGTCCACGTTTCTTTCCTTCTTCTTCTTCTTCTTCTTCTTCTTCATCTGCATCTTTCTCTTCTGACTTGGCTTGGTATGGTCTAATTGGTATCCCACAAAGGAGGGGAGGAACGAAGAGCAGAAGTGAGGAGTGAAGAGAGAGAGAGGGGGGGGGTAGTAGGTTTGCTACTAAGCATCCGTCCCTCAGTTAGTTGGTCTGTCAGGCTGTCCGCTAATCCCGTCGTCCCCCCAGTCAATCAGTCAGTCAGTCAGTTAGGTGGTCCCGATCGTCCGCGGCGTGTTGTTGTTGTTGTTGTTGTTGTTGTCTGTTTGTGCGTTTCATTGCGTGGTTTGTTTTCCCTCTCTTTACTCGCTCGGGCATGTGTGTGGGCATGTGTGTATGGAGTGTGTGCGCGCGCGTTCAACGTGGAGTTCCGTGCCTGTTGAGGCCTTATTTTTTGCTTGCTTGCTTGCTTGCTTTGAGAGACTTTTTGTTGACTTGGCTGTTTATTGACTTTGACTTTCCTCTTGTTTTGAACGTTGTTGCGTTGAGCAGCCGTGTGTTTTTTTGTATTGTCTTGTCTTGCCTTGCTTCTTACGGGGGTTCTAGGGAGCATGTAACTTGGGTTTGACGCAAAAAGAACATGAGAATGCGTTTGTTTTGTCTTATTGTCTTGTTTTATTGTGGTTACTATTTACTGGTTTTCGCTGCTATCGAATATGTATGGTTTGCGGGTTTGTTTGACTTGGCTGTCTGTTGGTTTTGTGTGTTGGGGCTTCTTTGCAAAGTTGGTTTTGTTTGTGGGGGGCATTACGGCACAGCACACAGAAATTGAGTTTACTGGCATGGGTTGCTCTAGCTACTTTTTACTCTGGCAGTATAGCATGAAAGCGACGTATACACACACTGATACTCCTGTACGTTTGAATGCTGTTATGGTAGTGTGAGTGCGGGTAGGCACGGATTGCTTCATCAATCCATCTTTTTCCTATGGTCGCATTCCTTCGCGCCACTACGTAGCGGCTACTTCTTTAACCCAACCGAGGGCGCTAGCTATTCTAATTAGTTAAATTGGCGGGTTACTTAGTGAGAACCAACAGCACTGTCATAACCCGTTAGGAAACTGCCATTATATGCGAGTTTATAGGGCCTTCGGGCCTGACTTTATTGCTGTACTGGGGAGGTCTTTGTTAGTGTTGTGTTTTATTTATTTATTTATTATTTTGTTTATTACCCTTTTTTTTTTTTTTTTTTTTTTTTTTTTAATTTCCTTTTTCTTTTCCTGTTTTTTTCTCTTTTTTCCTTTATTCCCTCCTCTGTGGCTCTTTGCTTTGCGTCCATCATCCATCATCCATTATCAGCAGCATCATCCGTGGCTTTTTTTTCAAAAAAGAAACCGGTAATTCTGGAACTTCGATCGACAGATAGACAGATAGGTGAGCACGTGTGGCTCGACTCATCATAAGCCGTTACTGACACACTCTTAGCCCACTTAAGCACATACCTTTTTTGCGGCTTGCGTCTGGCGTCGTGTATGGCGTTGCATATACGTGTAGAGTTTATGGCATGCGTCTTTATCGGGTCTATATTGATCCCCTCTCTCCTTCTGCCTCCATCCTTTTTTCCTTTTCAACTAACCGACAGCCAGCAACAATATCACCACTCTCACCTGTCCCCAAGGTTGCTTTTTCTGTCTGAAGTGTTACTGGCTCCGAGCGGTTCGTACTTTGCACACACACACACACACACACACACACACACACACACAGTGTAATAGCTGGAGACAGAGCTATATGTTAATTAGACCCCCCCCCTAAAAAAATAAATAAAAAAAAAATTATAAATTGTTCTCAATTATTTATCCATGTACATACGCGTGTATTAACCTGCCATAACAGCGTAAGAAGTAGACAGTAACCGCATACATCAAATAGATGGATGGCATTTACGCTACCGAGACGTAAGCAACGCGGCTTAATGCTTTTAGTTAACACCGTAGCGCAGTGGCGCAGTAGCGCCCTGGCGACAGCAGCAGTAGTTGATTGCATATAAAACACATACATATACATGCATCTTTCATTTCCCGCGTTTTCTTTTTCGTTGACACGGACAGCGACATATGTACGCACGTGCTGCCAGGTAGATCGAATTCGGATCTCGATGCTTCCAGGTTTTGCTTTTGGGGTCCGATGATATTGCGTGGGGTTTCCCAATTGGGGGTCTGGTCTCTCTTTGCTTTTTGTGATGGGGTGATGGTCTGATATATAGAAGTTGGTGGATCGATGCGGCTGGGGAGTAGGCTTGTGGGAAGGAAGGCAGGGCGGACGGTTCGGAGGTCGGTTAGGCTGTTAAGGCGGGCGTTGGTGGTGGTGGTGGTGGTGTCTTTGCTGCTACTGCTGTTGCGGTATAAGTAGGTGTTCGGCTCTTCCGTCCTTTATCCATTATTCATTATTCTATCCGTTCCTCTTTATATCCTTGCTGATGTACGGACACCCGTTCGTCGGCTCACTAGTTGTCTAAGTAATCTAAGTAAACTAGACCGGAGCGCCAGGTAAATTTGGATGGTGCAAGCGAATGATGAATGAGGCTAGCCGACGTATGTACAATTCGGTGGGCTGGCGGGTAGAAAACACTATACTACAAATACACCTATCCACATTCATTCAAACCTACCTACCAGGCTTCGGTGGTTGTAAGTAATTCACGGCTTTGCAATGGGACAGGAAATAAAGTAAAAGACGATGAGAGTAGCAAATACTAGCTCAGCGAGTGTGTAAACAGTCACTGTTCTACGCGGTGCTACGAGATGGGCGTTCATGCTACTCGTTGGAGTAAGAAACAATTGCTTGAAACACTGAAAATCTATTAGTGATCACGGTCTATTACATTGGAGTTCTCGAAGATAGATAGGATATAGATACATACAGATACATGCACAACAAGGTAGAAAACAATCGATGTGTGTATATATATTGTTGAGGTTTAGTGCCTATTCGCTTCCTTTTCTTTCCTCACTCTTTACTTCAGTCAACGACATGCTCCAAATGAGCCGCATATAGCTAAATAGACATAAGTTCACCCAGGGCAGAACGAGCTACAATCATTAACCATAAGCATATACATCCAAGCAGACCAAGAAGCACACCTCTACACCTCAAACCCCCTCCCCACCACATCCCCATCCTCCAACACCCACTCCGCCGCGCCCATATACCACGCCCTGCCCTCGACCTCCACGCGCACCGCCTTGCGTCCCTGCACCACGACCTCGTCGGCCTCCTCGACCGCGCGCCCAACAAATGCCCCCTCGCCCCCAGCCCCCACCGACACGACGCTCTGGTACCGCCACCGCTGCCCCAGCTGCCGCGTCCCGCGCGCCACGGCCGCTGCCACCCGCGCCTGCACCCCCGAGCCCGTGGGGCTGCGGTCGATCTGGCGCGCCGCGAACACGCAGAGCCCGGTCTCTTCGCCTACCTCTCCTTCTCCCCCTTTACCCGCGCCACCCGCCTCGCTGTCGTCGGTGATAATAACGCCATACAAGAACTCCAGCGCGGCAGCCTCGCCGCCCCTATCGGCACCGCTGTCCGGGTGCCGTAGATAGCGCGCGCGCAGGCCCTCGTCCCTGTTGAACGCGGCCGTGAGGGCCGTAGCCGCGGCCTCGAGGCGCGCGAGCCCGTCGCGCGTGCGCGCCACCGTCGCCAGCGCGTCCGAGGGAAACCCCAGCGCCGACGCCCGCACTAGCAGGTAGAACGCCCCGCCGTAGGCTACGTCTGCCGTGACTGTTGCTGCTGCCGCGGCGTCGGGACTGCCTGAGGAGGCGGCGAGTTCGGCCCAGCGCAGCGCCGGAGAGACGGAGACGGCGGCGTCGAGGCCCGTCGCGAAGCTCGGCACCGAAAGGTAGCACACCGGGCGGGTTGGGTCCGCGCGCCATTTCGGCGTGCCCGTCCCCTCCGCGTCCGCGCCCGCGTCTCGAAGCACAACAGGCACCGTGACCCTGACGACGCCACACGGTGCATGCAGCCGCACCTCGACCTCCCTGCGCGCCTCGTCGACCACGAGCGCGCCCCGCTGAGGAAAGATGGCCGCGTCGTCGCAGTCGACGAGCATGCGGCCCAGCGCCAGCGTCGCATGCCCGCACATGGTGCTGTAGCCGGCGTTGGTCAGGAAGAGGACGCCCATGTGCGCGTTGTCGGAGATCGTGTGCTCGGTGCGCGGCCGCAGCAGCGCGCCGTACATGTCGCGGTGGCCGCGGGGCTCGAGCAGCAGCGCGCGCCGGAGAGCGTCGTGCTGGGCGGCCGCGTAGGCGCGTTGCGCTAGCAGCGTCGCGCCTCTATGCCATGGGTTGGCGGTGTTAGTTGGGGGATACTGTTGTAGGGTTAGCTGGGATGGGCCACGTACTGGAGCTCTGGGTACCCGGCGTATATGATGCGTGTGGGCTCGCCTGTCGTGTGCATGTCGATGGTGCGGATGCGGTGGGCGCCGTGCTGGGCGATGAAGGAGGGTGTCGACGCCATGGTGGGAGACAGAGACAGAGTAGGTAGAACTAGAAGAAACAAGCAGAGATGATGAGACACGGGAGGTGGGTATGTTGAGAAGTTCAGAAATGGAAATGGATTTCTTTAAGGAAATAGAAAGGGTGACGACGAAGCCAACGGGACGAAGTCAATTGAGAGACGGAGAAGACAGAGAAGACGACGAAAGGAAACAACGACCTAGCTTAAATATTCAAAACCGCCCTCACCAGCTGTCGTCTTCCCCACAACCACACAGCTAGGTAGGTATCAGTACCTAGGTAGATGCACGGAACACGACCCCGACACCGGACCGGATGCGGGGTCCGGTCACCTACAATACCTTATGTACTCGTAGCAACGGCGCGTCTGCGTGTTGCTGGTCTGCAGGGTAGGCAAGGGCCGGCCGGGGAGACCTTCCAAAGTCAGAGAGCCTCCTCTGGCAAGAAGATCTGCTTAGGTACAGCGATACCGCTCCAAACGTGACGTTCCCAGCGCCATGCACGTGAAGCAGCAGTCCCCGCGGCTGCGAAGCAACCAACAGCCAACAACCACGTCGGTGGGATGCAGGGCAGACAACAAACAACAGACAACAGTGACCATCATCCCCACTTACCACTCTAAAATTATTATTATTATAGTACGCGCTTTCAAATGTCAACTCCATCACAGGTTGTGTAGTGTAATGGCTAGCACTCGAGATTCTGACTCTTCGGAACATTCTCGCAATCCCGGTTCGATCCCGGGCACGACCTTAATTTTTGTTTTTTCCTCCTATGTTTTTTTGCATGATTCAATAACATCAACACCAACAACAACAACAACAACAAGAACAACAAAAATAAAAATAATAATAATAAAAGGCCCTTATTCCCGACCGCGCTCCCACTTTTGTTTCTCTGTTTGTTTGTTTATTTATTTCTTCCATTCCCCACGCATCGCCATCGCCATCGCCATCGACATCGGCACAGGTATGGGTAAGTAGGTAAGCATCAATCAGCAATCAGCATCAGCATCAGCATCGCCCTTGGCCCCGCACCATCTTCGTGTTCCAATGCGAGGGACCCTGGGCACACCCACTCACTCCAAACTCCACTAACCGCCTTTTTTTTT